CATATAGATGGATACAGACCACTTTAAAAATTTCTTGTGATATCACATTTGCTAAATTCACTTCTGTAACCTTACATTAAGTGTTTTAATGAACCATGCTATAGGCTTCCAAAAGTACGTTGCTAATGACTATCAGCCTGCAGACTGGCTAAAAGAATGTCACACATCTATAAATCCCTAAATCCGTGATGGAGCAATCAACTGACATATCCAGAAACACACACTTAAAATCCATCACATTATTTCAGGCTTGCCAGTGATTATGAGGCAGAACAATAGAAGGAGTGATCATTGTAATAACGAGGAAATTTATCAAGAAGAAAAGAAGATGCTCAGCCAATTGAAATCAGGTACTGTGACACTTGATGGTCTCTAAAGGGGTATGCCCACTGTAGCTTCTGCATGCACAGAATGATAGTAGCTACTGGTAGGTGAAGGTCTGGAACCTAACAAGGTCCATGTACAAAAATTACTTCACATGGCAATCACTCTAGTTCACATGGGTCAGTCTCCTTCACCTAAAATATTCAGGAAAAAAAAAAGTCAGCTGAATAAGGATAAGAAAGGAAGGATAGGGTTACTTTTTAAATATCTGATTTTCCATAATATTTATCAACATGTAAAGTAGAAGAACCGCTATACTAAGAAAATACTGTTTTCAGCTGCTACTAAGGAAAAGCTAAAAGGCTAACTTGTTCCCTGTTAGCTGATCCAATGAGCTCAGTAACGTTTCACTGAACATATCGTGGGGTTTTTTTCCAAGCTTTGAGTATGTGCATTCAACAGTGACAAACAGGCATGACACAGACACAGGATCAAGCCTCGTCTTCTTCCTTGGAATGCTCCATCTACAGTTGAACCCGTGGTGTTAACCCACAACCCTTCAAGCTTCTGACTACTCGTCCCTCTGAACTGCTGTTACTTTCACACATATAAGTAATTTTGACTTTTTTTACAGAATATTTACATATGGAAACATACCAAAAAGAAATTCTACGCAGACACTCAGATGACTAGAATTATATACTATGCTCACTAGGTTTTACATTTTATTTACAGTGTTTTAGTTTGAATGGAATGTCTTCTATAATTGCTCTTTAAGGTAACTATTGGTTTTGGTTATTTACCAAAAAGTATAAATACAGTAAAACTGAACTATGGTGTTTATTAGGGTATATACTATGGAATATAAACTCAAAAGATAGATCTATTTTATTTTTGCAGAGTAGTAAAACCAGAATTGAATTTGGTAAACACTAGAACCACTGAGTACAGAATAAACTTCCACCACTGCTCCTGCAGATCCAGCTCCACTGGAAACCACAATGACAGAAGTACTAGAACAGACCAAGCGTTGGCAACCCCCAACCTCCGAACTAAAAATGTTAAAGCTTGGTTCAAAAAAGACTGTGTGAAGAGGTTTTGTGTTTGGGTTGTTGGTTTGTTTGTTTTTTTTTTTTTTAAACACCCCCACTCCTGATTTTGTCGCTGTTGCTACTGCTAGTACTGGAGCACTGAACTGGCTAAGTTTGGTTATTCAGAAGTTGTCCCTGCAGGGTTTTTTGTTTGGGTATTTGTTTGTGTTTTTCAAGGCAGTTCAAGTTAATCTGGAACATCTTTGAAATTGATGTCACCTTGCCTGTTGTTAGATTTCTTACTGAATTTACTCTCTTCCAATCATCACTTTGGGATGTGCCAAAAACAAAAAAACCCACTTGCAGTTTTACAATTTTTATGCCTAACTCAACTTAAACGCCCCACTGTATACTACAGTAGCAAAATGAGCAGAAGTCTGTCTTTTACCTTCCTCAATTCCATCCCAGGTAAGTTCCAGTTCTGCTGTTCATAAATCACTCTTGCTTTAGCTTAATGGGGTTTAAAAATAAATATTTGCTGATAATTTAAGAAAGGTCACTTACATTGTTCAGCAGTGTTTGGCATGAGCAAACTGAAGTCTGAAATACGTTCGCTGAGCAGGAAGCTCACTCAATCAACTCTCCTCAGTAAGGATTTATCAGACTAATTAAAAAATTACAATGCTTAACTTAATCACAATTTAATTTAAATTTCCTCAAAGGTAAAGTAATAATATTACAGTGGTTGATTAATGAAATAGGCCATGCTTTATTCTAGGAAATTCCTAATTGTCCTTAGTGCTACAATAAGTATATCCAACAGGAATCAATCAGGTAGGCAGATTTCTTGAAGTACAACTGCAATTATATAATATTGCTGTCACTACTAACTGAATATATTTTAATAACCCCACCAAAACACTTAATCATAAAAATCATGGTAGACTTACATGGCACACCTCACCTATCCCACTCCTCAGCAGGGCTAATGAGCCCAAGGAGCCTGTACCGCTGTATCCTGTGCTGCTTCCACTAGCTCAGGACATCTCATTCACAACTACTTTGTGTTTCTCTATACAGCACTGTAGTGTGCCACGTAAACATATCCTTAGAGAAACAAAGGTAGTTTAGCAATAAAGAGAACACAGACTCCGCAGCACTCACCAAAACTAGTGCATGTTATGTCCTGTGTGAATCACTTAACACTTGTGTGACGCACCAGTGTCCACACAATGGACATGGTTAGATATTCAACAGTTTAATGAGCACATACATGAACTATACTATATACATGAAACATACATATATATACTATATATAAGGCCCCCAAAACACACCACTGAATAAAATGAGATACCTGTATCCTGAGAGAACCTCACTTTGTGCTGGCTTCAGAAAACAAGTCCTTCTCATTTATTTCAGGATAGAAGAGATTTTACCATGGCTAGACAAAATTCATAGCTTTTTTATACATAATCAATCATCCTCCAGTAACCAGAAAACTTAAGCTGATCTAATTCTCATTCTATAGCACCATAAAAACATGGACCCATGGGTACATGCGTGTACACATGCCAGCACCATATATATCTGCTTCACATGATTCCTACTTGTTTTAATGATACAGAAACATTTTCCCCAAACCAAATGTCAGAAAATGCCTGGCTGTGGAACAATTACATCCTTCATTCTATATTGGAAAATGTAAGTAAGTTCTGTAGTATCTCATGACATATCACATACCTGGTCACATGTTGTTAATAACCTTCTCCAAGTATTTTGGAGATAAAACTGAAAATCCATCCTTAAGAAACTCTTTGCCCACTGGGATCAGATTTATATGACATATATGCCCACTTAATAACTCTCAAGAACCCCTTCTAAAACCAGGATATAATGAAACTGAACAGATTTTTGCAGCCCACCTATAACCTCTTTAAAAAACAGATTTACAGCATATCTTAAGCATTAAATTCTAATGTCATAAATAGCAACACAGAACTGTTTTCAAAGCCGTTTAAAAGAATTACCTGACTTCAAGACATAGGAAAACAGATATGTTGTTGTTTCATAGAAAGAGAAACAGACCTACAGCCACACAGTATTATAATGAGGGATATATTTAGTGCTTGCTGAAAGCATCTTAACTGCTATTTTCCTGTATCTATATATCTGGCACTCAGTTTTTTACTGTTTTTCCAGAATCTTCCCCAACAGCGAATCCTTCATTCTACATGAACTAAAGCTATTTTTAGCGATTGTCAAATTTGAAGACTACAAATCTCTAGTTACTGCATCTTCCTCTTCTTACATATAATCTCTCAATTAAAACAAATGTGTCCCCAAAGAACTTTGAAGAAGAGGCTGAATTAACAAACTGTTTAAGTGAACCAGAAGCAAGCCAATCCCTTATGAATACAGAGCCTGTAATTAGCCAAAATGCTCCATTTTCTGTTCACAGTGAGTCTGAGGCTCAATAAAAATTAAACACTGATGCAGGCAAGGCATTCCCATGGGGCTCACATATATTAATACACTACCACTCACCAGTTGCTTTATGTCAAAGAAACTGGGACACAGCTTGAAATTGGCTGGCTGCCTATTTGATAAATGGAAAGCTATATGGTGACAAGTATTTTCTCTTATTTTCATATCCCTAATGTCATAAACAGGCTAAGTCAGTACTTAAATGTGGCTCCTAACAGTCACATACTCACAAAGGTGTCAAACAGATACGACTCAGATTCTGACTGATTAGAGAATGACACTTCATAGATTCTGCATGGAGTCACAGTTACAACTTTGGATCACCCCAAATCAATAGTCCCCTAGCACTGGCTTTCCCAAAACCTCTAAGGATGAGGCCATCAGTTTCTTAAAACTGTATCTGAATTTAGTTCTTCGCTTGGTTAGGATGCAATCAGCAGTCCTCACTTTAGTGATGACCTTTTTAAGCAAAAATGCAGAATAATTTGTGTGGCTCTGTTGCTACTCTGCAGAAATCAATTTATAGAGAATATATAGAATGAAATAGTTTGGAACTATGATTATTTTGACTTCAGTGAGACAGAGTCAGGAACAATGAGTGTTTATGAAAACCCTCTTGCAAGCTACAGATGAGTAAGCCCCATGAATGTATCAATCCTACAATTTCTAAGATCCTTCAAATCCCTCAGAAATTGTGTTAATTTATAATAAATACTATATCAACTTTTCTATTCAGCCAATTTAAAAACTTATTAAATATGTAGCTAATAAAATGTTAAGTTTATCAAATAGCAAGCCACTGTTCAAAAAAGTGCATTTCTAAAGCCCATACTACAACAATATCATCCGTTGATAGGGCTGTAATAGCACCTCAAGCTGCAACTGCAAAATGATTCACCACCTTCAAAAAGTATGTTCCAAAATGAATGGGCTGATGTTATGAAGTTTCAGATCTTATTCAGAAATACTCTGTTATGTTAACCTTTTATTTGTCTTACTCTGTCCTTTCAAGGTCATCATGACTTTCACTTCTGTAGTAGAAACCAGCCTTTTATCAATGGAGTGTGAGGATCATTCAAAGAGAAAATGAATGCACATCACCACCGAATGGCTTTAATTCTCATAAACTTCACAAATCTTAGGCTAGTTTATGCTCACCTTTCTCAGGAGGAAGCAAATACGCTCAATATTTCTCAGCCGCTCTCTCTGTCAAGAAAAAGTGGGGAAAAAGGTAGATTAGCTGGTGCTATAAATTCAAGACATTGTCTTACAATTACAGTGGGTCAAGATCATAATTAATGACTGCAGGGAAGCAGCACAGGCTATTAATCTGAAACGTCAGTATTCACTTCTTACCTAATGCTTGCAAGCCAAATGATTTACCCATTTCAAAGTCCCATTAAGTTATTTTTTCACCTGTTACTGGGCGTAACAATAGAATTCAAGTCTCTGTTAGCCTTGAGGCAGAGGCTACAACTTCTTTTCAAGTCAGCATCTGTGGCTCTATCCAGTGGTGCCAATCTATACCACAGATACTTGGTCTTGCATTTTCAGGTACCCAGCCTCAGGCTTCAAGATAATTCTCAATGGGAAAAACAACTCTGAAGTTGGTATGGTAGCTCTTCCTCTATCACTAAGTGGGTGCCTGAGCAACGGGTAATATCAGAATTTAACCCATTAGTGAAGAATATCTGAAATGTCCTATAAATGCCCTTTAAACAACAGATACATTCATAAGTATTGAAAGTCACTGTAATTAAGCACTGTGACTCAAAAGATGCTCTAAGCTCAATTCACCGAAAGAAGACAAGTCAAAGACAGGTTTGCTTTTAAATGACTCATAATGAGGAATTCACTAGTAGAATCAGATTTCACTCTGCATAACCCCATCACTGGGGTTACTGTGAAAGATTCTACTGCTGGTTACACTGCAGAAAGCAGAGTGGTCTTGTTGTCCTCAGAAGACTATCTGTTAATATTTTCATTCAGACATGGGAAAAAATATTCTGAACAATGACCTATTTAAACAGGTAATATAATATACCAATGTGAGAAGTTAACTCTCCCTAAGATTTTTGCTTTTCAAATGTTTTAAATTTGCTCCAAGTTTGAGTTTGATTTCTATTTTCCAAATAAATGTCTCTTTTCCTTTCCTGTCCCCAAGTTTAAACCATTTAAAAAAAAAAGTGTCCTTCTGGAAAGACAATGGGACAGTGGCAGCTTGATAGTCACCAGACAAATATTGTGCCTCTATCTGGTGTCTGTGATCTAAAAGAGATTCAGAAATTTTAGAATCATGCTTGGAAACATGAGAAAGGAAGCATGTGGATGTGCCTGTGAAGCTGCAGAAAGCTTTCTTGCCTTTCGGAGGTGGTAAGTGGTGAGGGAAAGATAATATTCTCAATTCCCTTTAGAAGACAGATGACTAACTACAACTGGCCTTGGAGAAGTTGGAAGTCTATCTTTGAACTGTAGGTAATAGAGTGTAAACCAAGAAATTTGAATTAAACTCTCAGTACTGCCATTGGTTTTGCCTCTGATGTCTCCTTAATTCAGCCTTCTCTTGTGAAAAAGGCACTATGTCATGAAAATGTTATGGAAGATACATGAGTAAACATCAGACATTCTTATACTACAATAAAGAAAACTACCCCACCAAATAAATGAAATATGGGCACGAGAAACTATGCATACAGAAAAAGGAAAATACACTTGAACAAAGGTATAAGAATTACCTGCTAAAAATCTTCCTTTTATGTCAATGTAAAAGGCATCAACACATATATTGTGCAGAAGTAATCTGAGATTATTGCTTGAGTTATCACAGCAAGTTTCATAGAAGAGTGTCAAGTATGTCAACTGATCACAGAATACTTTGCTGTGTTTTACTGGAAACTCTACAATTACCTTTTTGATTACACCACTAATATGACTGAAATAGGGACTTACTAACGTTTTTATCCTGGAGACCGATTCCATTACCATTTTAAAATAAGAGGAAATTGTCTCTATGGAGCATCTTACAAGTTTGAGGAAGAGAACAAATTACTGGAATTTGGTACATATAAACACGCATTTTTTGTGTCTAGTTCTCAAGTGGGAAGTAAAACCAGACAAAGTGAATTCAAAATCAGATTACTTCCAGTAAATTCATTCCACCAAAGTCCTCTATAGGATTTCTTCATATAATTTCTTTCTTCAGTACTCATTCTTTGCTTATGTGTTAGTGAACAGTAAAAAGATTCTTGTAAAGATTATGCTTAAAATCAACAGTGGTCTAACCAGCACTGCAAATCCTCTGCTGAGTTATGAAACAAGGATAAACGGCGAAGTACTAGCTACGGAATTGGGTTATCATTTGTGGCAATTCAGTAACTCGATACCTTGTAGAGCTCAAACTCAGCACCTGTCATAATCATTGTAATTCCCAATGAGATGACAGGGAGACAAGTTCTGCTCTCAGTTCTGGTGGTACAAATCTGAGGCATGTTTAACTGTAGTCAGCTAAATCACCCTAGATTACAGCTTTAATTAACAAAGGAATTTTCATATGCTTAAATCTGGGTTGCATTTTGGTTCATTAGGTAAAATTGAGTTTATAGTCCCAGAGTGACATTTAACCTTTTCCATAGCAGATGCAGCAGAATGTGTTATTTACTCTTAAAGCACAACAGAATTTAGAGCCCTGCCATGGGACAGAGAGGTCTAGGAATGCACCTTTTATCAAATCCCTTCAAGCTTTTGACTCACTGATACAGACAGTATGGGAGAAGGTGGTCGTCCCATGCTTGAACACACAGAAAGCAAATGATTTCAAAAAGGAAAATGTGCCACAGAATGAAAAGATAATAAGAAAGCATTAGCATCACATTACATATCCTTCAGTTTTTGAACTTCACATTATTTTCCTGCCTCCTTCAGCAAAAAGGAAAGCTATTAGCATAAAGAATCAACATATGGCTTCCTATGACTGACCCAATATATCAATTTTCCAAACTACAGTTAACTTCACAAGACTCTACATTCATTTCCACACCCATACTTTCACTGACAGCTCAGTGCATCTCCCTTAGCTGCTGTTTAGCAAGCCACTGGTTGTACTCACTGCGTGGACTGGGTTGCACTGATCTATTGGGCTTTTGAAGTCTGTCCGAAGTTCATCGAAGGCGATTATCTGAAAAATAATTTTTTCAAATACTGTAATTAATACTCATTCAAACACTTACTTTTCCTGTAGAGACTAGTTAGGTGCATCTCCTCCCTTCCTCCCCTTCCAGAGAAGAGATGGAAAACTAGCTTCTCTGACACTCCTTTCAGAACTAGCTAGTTAAAACAAAACATGGGATACTCCTACATATGACATCTAGAATCCATTAATCTGTCACTTTGTAAAATCATATCTATAGTCTTTTCAGCATTGTTGCTTTCCAGATTTCTTCCCTCGTATCAGCTAGAATTCTTTTCTCAAACTTCCAAATGACACAAAACTATTTCACAAACAAATACATCTCCAGGCTTGATGGAAAAAGTCATTAGCTGCCTAAAACAGAGGTGATTCAGCTACACTATTCCAGGTTTAATACATGCACAACAGCCCCTTTTTAGTAGTTGTTAAGCCTACTTCAGATATTAATTCTCAATTAGTATCAGCCTAGTTATTATTAAGCCGCTATTCACTACCAAGCAAACTCCTTAAAAAGTAAACCATTACAGCAAAACATGCCCTTCCTAAATTCCAGCAGGTTTTAGAATCTTACTTCAGACCTCATTAATGGAGGGATGTCTTTTGCTCATGTCTAGTTTTCTTCATTAACCGATGGATTGAGACACACTGGTAATTACTGCCTGCTTTTAAAGTACAGTAGATTGAAGTGCCCATAAAAATAATAACGTTTTCTTGGAAAGAAAACAGCTGTAATAACCCTCAGCATATTTCATTCAAAGATCTCAAAGCATGTTCTTTATTTTATGTTTGCATTCTAGTAGTACCTTTTCTTCTGCTTGCTTCACTCAAGGAATGAAAGCTCACTATGATAAGCACCACATAAATAGATGTTAAAACAGTTATTCTTTTTTAGACAATTTCCAAACCGGGAAGGTATTTTTTCTCAATAAAAAGATGATGGAAGTACAAGGTAGTAGTTGAGTAATTAGTATATGAGTGCAACAACCATTCTATGACATGTTACAGCATGCCTGCTGCCTAACTGTTCAAAAAATAACCAACTGGGTGTCAACACAGACCTGCTGTATAGGTAAAAACCACTAATTTTACTGATATGGAAAGCAGGAGCAGAAATCCTGAAAATGGCCTATCCATGATTCATATAATAATCTGGTGAGAGGCTTGAGAATAAAACCTAGAGCTACAATCCACAAATCTAAGCACTACTCTGCATCCCACTCTAATGCTGCATTCATCACACTGAAGCACATTTAAAATCAAAAGCGTGGCATTTTACAAGAACACTCTACAGAATTAAATTTATTCAAATATGACAAGTCTAAGTGCCAGAATAAACCACAAAGGGAACTATAAAACATGATTATAAGTGAAGCATTTCTCCCCATGGATGCAGTATCTCTACGAGTTAGGAATTAAATCTGCAACGATGTTTAGACTGACGTAAAAGAGCAAATAACAGAAACTGTTATTTGGGTCAGAGTACAATTCTGAAGAATAAGGCTCATGACATCTCTATATTTAATACTTCTTGAACAGGTCTTCATATTCTCAAGCTAAGCCAACTGTTAAGAGGGCAACAACCATGCGAGTCAGACACACATGCTTCTGTTTGTAATTGGGTATCAACACTGGCACTGACAGCATTGACAGAAAGGAGGAAGGATGGCTCTGGAACAGGTAAGAGAGCTGCCTCTGTTCATGCTGTGCCACTGATTTACTTTTGGATCGTGTGCATCTCCCTTAAATTCTCTCTGCCTCACTGAACTGGTACTTACAGGCTTAGCTTTAAGATAGAAAACTGTATGAGCTTTGAGTGACAACTGTTTTTAATAATGTACAGTGGTAACTGCTTTTTTTCTATTGTAAATGTAGAGAAGAGCTGAAATTTCCTTGTGGGAGAAAAAGAAAAAAAAAAAAAAAAGCGTGAATGTGCTGTGCTTTTCCCTTTGGTAGTCAGTAACAGCAACTAGGAGTTTGAGATAATCATGAAATGACAGCAAGTACAAGATCCAGCTCATGCTGTGAGGAAAGACTGGTCTGAGACAACAACATGGGGAACCTGAATACTGGAATCACAAGATGGACCCCCATCAAGAAGTCCAGGAAAGCCTCTAAAGATTCACTGAACACAGAACCCTGAAGCATGTTTAGATGAAGAAGATCTAGGTTGCTCCAAAAGCCAGAACCATTGAGGCAGGGGTCTGTGGAGCTAGCCTTAACTAATGCAGCTAAATCTTGAAGAAATCCTAAATGACAGTTTGGAGAAAGATTAGCCTAAAATACACTATACATTTAGATTTTCTCATGTTTTGCTTTCACTTTCTTTGTTTGTTTTGTTTTGTTTTGTTTTGTTGTTGGTTTCTGGGTTTTTTTTGTTTGGTTGGTTGTTTTTTTTAACCAGCATTCCCAATCCTGTAGTCAAGAACCTACTCTTTATTTGCTGGCATGTCATTTATTTTATGTTATGCTTGCGTTATATCTAAGAGCACTGAAACAAATCTGACAGTACTAAGCACATTGTTTTCATGAAACCAGTAAGTGTAAATACAATAGTCTCAAAGACAAAACTTTTGGGACGCCTGCAAATTATGACAATGTTAAGACACATTCCTGCTACACCTGCAAGAAACAGATTGAGGTCTGGTATCAAGCACACAGGACTGGAGTAAAGTTTCTTCATTAAAAGTTTTGGCATCTCTCTGGAAAGAGACTGACAGAAATAAATTCTCAATTCTTAATATCTCATTTCATAAAAGTTCTGTAATTGTTTATTAAATCTCCAAGAATAAAAATCCAGTGATGACATGAAGATATCTATTTTAATTTATGAAAAAGCACATTTCTATTTCTCAGTCACAGTTAAAAGCTTGAAAGTGTAGCACTAGGTAGGCTCGCAATTAGAAGGAATATAAAGAAACTCCCAAAGTTTTTCAGAGGCATGGGGTTTTTGTGTTTTGTTTTTGTTTTTTGGGGTTTTTTTAATCTCACAATGTTGTGTGCCCTAATTCTAAAACTGCAATTGAGAAACGATGGAAACAAAGCTGTAGCTTCTTAAGATTGGCAGTTGCTCACAATACACTATGTAACTGTGCAACAAATTGTATTGTATTACTGAAAATAAAACTGGGTTGTGCTGTGGCATGGTTTACATAATTAATTAGGAAACGTCTTCCTCTTACAATTATAACTATCCTTCCCTAGCAGTTTAATGCCCTAGGGCATTGTGTGGACAGAGTTGCCATTTTTCCCTACAAAAAACAAGTAACTACTTGCCTCCCTTAAGTATTTCACCATGCTTTCACAGGAGGTGCAGCGTTCTGGCCATACTCTAGAGGAACAATCTCCTGGCCGTTTACGTTTCAGCTGGATGCAGCTGGAAGCTACCTGCTTCCCATGCATCAGCCCATCAGAGCTGCTGAACACTCTGGGACAGCATCTGGGTATGCTCAAGGTCTTGTTTCACCTCCAAAATTGTCACACTTACCGGCATCTTGACAGAGTAGTTCATATGGAGGCAAACAATGCAATAGATCCCAGCCAGGGCACTTCACCATACAAACTGCCATCCTCTCACCTTTGTCAATTAATGTATTTTATAAATTGTTCAGTATGTTTTAGTTATCCAATCTGATTTGATCCAGGGTGGCAATTAAGACTACAAAATATACATACATGTGGACATCGACAACCCCATATCTCTGAAGGCCACACAATAAACAGACTGTTCCAAAGAAAAATTACTAACCTCTAGTCACAAAGCTAAACAGATAGCTAAGCAGATAACATTTTGGAAACATGTGCCAGGGACTGATTTTACACAGAGGAGAAATTTATTTCTATTAGTAAATATTAATGTTGTACACAACTTCACAGAAAGAGAATAAGGACCATTTGAACTTTATCTAGGAACCTCAAGAAAAAAAACCCAAGTTATCTGTTTATTTGTAAAGCTGTATCAGGAAAAAAAAAAAAAAAAAGCATCATGTTTAGCAATAATTTTTAACATTACAGCAGAAAGTGGCCAGGGATTGAATGGGCAATGGATATTGAACTACCTTCTGACTTGGGGAATTTTCCCTGTGATTCCACATTGCAAAACACTTCAGGAAGTTCATTCTGCCACTGCCCTATCCGTGCTTTCTTCTGTTGACAGAAGCGTACTTGTGGGTGTTATCCACCTAATAAAACTAAAGGTTTATAAAAATACTGGTTGCAGTCTCTGGTGATTCACACCATCTGCAAATCTCAAAACTCCAAGTGTAAATCAGCAAGGAGTTTGCCCCAGTTTAAACACATTGAACAGATGAGATTGTGATGACAACGTATGTTTCAGTACAGCTACAATTGCAATGATATTTATAAAATTTGTTTTTATTACCTGCACTCTCTGTGCCTATCTCTCCAGACAAGAAGAGCTTTGAATAATGAAGTATTCACATAAGATTGAACTTGAATTTTGTTTTTTTTTCCTATGGTTATGCATCCATCAAACTGAAAATTTTGCCTATTATTGGTAGGAATTAATCTCTCATTTTTAGGGAAGATACTTCTATATTTTTTTTTTAATCCCTGAGCTCTTACAGAAATATATTTTAATTGAGAATGTGATGTTTTAGGGTGGCAGTGGAGTTGGTGTGGGTGTGAATTCAGTGACAGCAAAGAAGTTGGATATTATTGCTTATTGGCATCTCAGAAAAGTTAAGATAAAACAGAACTTGATGACAACCACACTAACCACAGAACAGTAACACTTAACATATGTTTCCTTGCCACCATCCTGTCAATGCACCACAATCCCATCTTGAAGAAACTGTCTTTAATCGTTCATTTAAACATTTTTTCTACCCTCCACTCTCACACACAGTTTTCACAGCACCCATACCAGCAGTTCATAGGCTATCTGCAAATCAGCACATGGACAGAAGGTAGACAGGTTTAGGAGCATGCCTGCCCATCAATTGGTGTATAAACATAATTACTATGTTTGG